GGTATGCCTTGCTTGAAGTAGAGTAGCTAAGAAATATACCTTCACCTGCTCTTGGTTTGAACTTTCTAATATTGTCATTGGCGTTCTTGAGAATATAAGATTTGCACCAAAAGATATGAAAATATAATATGCTTGGCTTTCTGTTTTTGTAAATCTCATAGGGAGTTTTATCAAACAATAGTCTTAGAAAAACACAGTTGCCAATAAAACAAGCAACAGCAACAGCTTCAACCCAAAAATAAGTTGAAACACATCACTTTATCAGCATGGTCTTAACCATGTCTTAACCGTGTCTTGAAGAGATTGATTCTACCTCTATAATCCCATTTTGATGTCGAGTGTAAAGAGAAGAGAAATTGTGCTTAAAACCATTTTTTGCGCAAAACTTAGGAAAGCTCTTTTTTATGGTCAGTTTTTATACAAGAAATGTTATCTCTTTCTCATTTTGAACTTTTCTTGCAAATTTTACAAAATCATTAAATTCTATTTACTTTTGAGAGAAGTACATCACCTAGTCGTACCTTATAATAAAAAAAAAATTATTAAAAATTTCAAAATATTATTTAAAATATTCACATATGCGCTGGCCGTGTCACGTAAAACAGCTGATGTCCACGTCAATGATTTCAGATCTAATTTGGCCAGATGGACTGAATTATTACCAATGTGAAGATGTTTAGGACTAAATTGATCTAATAGAAAAGTTTAGAACTAAATTGATACTAATATATTAAGTTTAGATCTTTTTTGGTACTTTTCCTTTTAAAAAGGTTAAAAGACAAAAGAAGGAACACTTGAACTGCCTCTAGATGAAAAATATATATACAGACGTAAAAAAATATTACAACTAATTGGGAAAAAAATGGGCCCAATTCCCTAAAAAACCCCAAACTTTACCCTTTCTCCCAATTATATCCCAAACTTTTTTTTTGTCTTATAAAAAACCTCAAACTTTTACTTTTGTCCCAAATCTACCCAATTCACTTTTCGTCCAATTTTTTAATATTATTTTTTATTTTTTCGAATTTTTACCTTCGTCAATGGAGGCTAAAACGGAAATTTCGAGATGAACGGAGGCCATGGAATGATTCACCGACACCCCCTCTTCAAGTTGGTGGTGCTCGCATCGCCGGGAAGGTCACCGTTCGACCGGAAAAGCCGCGGTTTCGGGCCCTCACAACCAGCTCGTAAGTGGCACTTAGGTGATTATTTTTTTGAAAGTTATGGCACTCAAGTGAGCCAAAAAAAAGTTATGGCACTTAAGTGTCCTCCGTACAAAAGTTATGGCACTTGCGCTGTACTTATCTCTACTCAAGGGGTTTAGGTGTCCCTAAGAATACTAGGTCATGATTTCACTACTTTGAGACTTGGAGACCAAGATAAGCCATTAATGTGCATAGATCCAAATGACATTAATGAGGGTAATGATTTTCTTGGCTTAGGAGGTGTCCTTAAACTACTAGGGCATAATTACCTATTTTTGTGGCTTGAGGAATAAGTTTTCTTGAAAACCAAGTTGCCTTAATTCCTCTTGGAAATTAGCCATTTAATGCAAGCTTATGTGTCCCTAAGAATTAGGGCTATCATTACCCTAAAGTGAGTCTTGAAAGTAAGAGGCAAGAAGGAGGCTTAGGAAAGATTCTAGAGAGTCAAAAACTTGGAGAGCAACTTGGGGAGCAAGTCTTGACTTTTAACTTGGTGAACAAGTTAGTAGTTGAAGAGAGTTTGCCTATAAATAGAGGCACCCCTCCTCTTTTCCTCACCATACACCACCTCCTCTTCCTCTCTCGTCTCTCACTCTCACGTCTCCCTCTCTCTCCCTCACCCTCACGCCGATCACCTCTCTCCCTCTCTATTGTTCGTTCTCCGCCGCTGATCGCCATTTCCCCACTCAACCCCCGTAGACGTTTTCTTGTGCTTGCAGGTGAGTGAATTCCCTAACACTTGCATAGGGCGGTGTGTTACGTGATTGGAACGCGACTTGGGAAGTTGTTATTGCTTGAAATGGTTTTGTTCTTGTGAGCGTTGGTTCTTGCTAGCAATATTCATGTGACCATTATTATTGTTGAGATGACTTTATTTTCAATGGTGGTCTACTTGTTCTTAAGTGAAATTTTTCGTGTGTACACCTATACAAGTTTGTGCTTGTTATTGTATGGTTTGCTCATGATTCATTTTGTTGAGAGTCGAGCACATCCCGTGCATCGAAGAAAAGGTTCCCATTGGCATTGATCGTGAAACGTAGGCATGTCGGATCGGGCCTCTCTTAGGCTTGGACAATATTGAGAAGTCTTGTTCCAATGTCAAGTTTGGTCTAGGTCGGTGCTAAAGTGTAGCGATTCGAGTCTCGGGCCTTGATTCGTGCCTGGCATACCTATTTGTATTCAACCACGGTAAGTCATTTCATACACGTGTTTTGCACGCCCTCGGGCTTCATTCTTGAATCAACTAAAAATGAAAGATAAGAACCAAAGTCTTGTTTGCTACCGCATGATCATACGAGGGACTAAACTATCACTAATGGATTTCGGTTATGTAATAAATGAATCCCGTGTCAATTATTTTACGTTGTTCTTGTGCATGGTTGCATGACTCTTGGATGCGGTAGTTTGTGTGATATGTTGATGTTCTTAACCATGCTTGTTGATTTATGAGCTTGTGAGCTTTTCATGTGTACATCGCAACTAGGGCCTTGTATGCATGTGTTCAGATAGAGGATAATAAACCGGCTTGTGCGACTCATGATGTGTGATTTCTAAATGAAAGAAGAAGACCGTCATCACATAGTGTTGGCGGCGATGCCTTCGTTGATCCGGGATGTCCTAGTTGAGCCAAAATACCTGGGTTGAGCCCGGATGCCTCGGTAAGCTAGCCCCGGGATGCCTCGGTTGAGCCGGGATGCCTTAGTTGAGCCAGGATCCCTAGTATGAAGCTGGATGCCTTGGTTGAGTCGGGATGCCCTAGTTGAGCCAGGATGACGATAAATGAATCTTATATGTGTGCCGGTATGTGTATTTATTGATAAGCCAAAGGTTTCCAGATGTTCGAAGGATTCCGAAGGACTTGTCACCCACGTATTGAGGAGGCGATGCCCGATAGATTTCGACTGTAAAATAAATGAATTCGCGTGTGAATATTTTCGGGTATTTTTGCATGCCGATTGGTTGCGAGGCTTCACGTGTAAATTTTCTTGTACATTTTTATGTGACCGGAAAAATGTGAGCTTTCATGTAAACATAGCAAAGGCAAAGTCAAAGTCTTTGCTATTGATTTGCCATTGACATAAGACGGGGAAAATATTTGTGTGCGTTAGTACGACGGAGAGGCATTATCTTGCATGAGTATTAGTGAATTTACTCATTGAGTTTTCAACTCACTCCTGTTGTTTTCCATGTTTTTAGGATGAGCTCCGCACCCCCAGTTCGATTTGGTGTACCCAACGAGATGGAGGTTGACGTAGAGGAGCTAAGATTAATACTGGCCTTCGCTTGTGATTTAACCAGATATGGTTTGTACGTGGAATGGCCCGTAGAAAAAGGCTTGTAAAATATGTTTATGTAATATATAATGGTAATAGCGTGTTTTGCCTGTTGTGCATTTCCTGATTTCCAGCTATTATTTTGTTTGGGAGTTTGTTTGTACACGTTTCCGCATATGCTTATTAATAAGATAAAAGAAATGGGACGGCGACGAGCCTGGGACGTCGCGAAAATAACTCTTGCAGCTCAAGACCCTGGAGATGGAGTTGGGGTTGTTACATCGCCATGGCTAGGTGAGCCTTCCTATGGCTAGGCGAGGCACGACCCTTGCTATGGCCAGCAAGGCTTAACCCTCGCCAACCTAGTGTGAGGCCGCCCTCACGGACTTTAGCGAGGGCTCAAGTCTTGCCAGTGGCCTGCGAGGATCGCCAGAGGCCACCGAGGAACTTTTGGCTAGTTGTCGAACCTCGGCAACCGGCTAGAGGAAGAATGAAGGAAAAAAACAAAAGGGAAAGAGAAAGAGAAGAAGAAATAAAAACATAAAAAAATTTCAACAATATTAAAAATATTATTAAAAATTGTTTACGTCAGCACCGACTATGCCAAGTAAGTTGACCAATGTCTACGTCAGCAATATCTGGTCAAAAATAGCCAAAGACTGGATTGGCACTAGGCCAAAAGATTTAGGACTAAATTGACACTAATATAATATCAAGATTTTTTTGACATTTTTCATGTTTTTTTTGCCGACGGTCAAATCAATGATCAAGTCAAATATGGTGAGCCTGACGCCATATTAAGCTCTAGCAATCGGGCACAAGCTTGACGGCGGCATTGAGCTCACGCATGCGTGCGAGAGAGAGAGAGAGAGAGAGACGAGGGTCGTGGAGACGAAAACGAAGGGACGGAACTTTGTCATTGAGTGAAGCTATGGTGATATGATGGCGATTGTCGACGATGGCAACGGTTGGATGGAGGCTGCGGCAAATGGGGTGTGGATCTGGCCAGAGGACGGAAGCGAGAGAGGGCGCGCCAGATTTGCGGATTTTGATCTGATGTGGGTAAATACAAAAATGAAACATCTACATGTCGCCGTTTCATGCGCGGAGATTATAGATGAGATTAAAGTAGGAGACAATAGATATGCGTCTTTCTCGTTCCAATTGGTACACCTTTCGAAATCAACATTCCTACAAACTGAGCATTCCAGGAGGAATGTTTATCTCTACTCCAGCAGTAATCTCCATTCTAGCCTCCTTTTCTTAAGAACGAGACTTGTATTTTGTAAAGCGCATCGTTACTACTTCTTTTTTCTTACCCATTTTTTAAAAAAACACATTTGACATTTGATTGATCCTCTCAAGTTACCGTGTCAATTTCGTCTTATAAGATGAGATGAACAAAAGAAGGAAAAAAAAGAAAAGCATCTTTGCTTTATTGGCCTATGAGGATTACATAGTTTTGTGAGATGGATACTACAAATCCATTACATTGTTGGTCTGAACTTCAATCAGTAGCTGTCCTGTGGATAATGTCTCCTCTGATGTCGTCTAGGTCACCACGAACTTGAAGCTGCAACAACAGATCGAAAATGAAGGAGTTAGAATTAGGCTGTGATGAATTCGGTCAACTAATCTAGAAAAGTTTGACTTTTTCTCTAATGATAGCATGAAGAGAGAGGAAATAGCGAAAGGATCCGACCAAGTAGAACCAAATCTTGGAAATTTTTTTGAAAACAAATATTAAATTGAGCATTTATTGACGTAATATAATAGACTTTTGCGTCGCCAATGCAACCATCTCTTCGTGCAAAATGATCGAAGCCACGTTACCGATATAAATTAATTAAAATGGCGTCGGTCTGGAGCATGCATTTTTATTTTAAAAGCTTAACATCCATATCCACTTATTGTCCCTTGTACATAGAGAGCTTAGCATGCCATACAAGTTTGATCATCAAACTTGTATTACATGCTTAGTCATTTAAGAAAAATCTTTCTTTTTTTTAATGAAGTACAAGAGCTTTGCTAGATATTGCTTTTCCTTCACGCTCTTGTACTTCATTAAGAAAAACTAAGAAAAACAAAGAAAATATTTTTCCTTAAATGACAAAGCATGTAATGCAAGTTTGATCTAAACAGACAAGTACATTATTAGATTTCGTTTGGAAGATGATGGTTCAGTTGACTATACTGGATGTAACTATGATTAGGGTTAGACTTTGCAATATGGTGTGTAACAACAAATCTCGTAAATTCACCTGTTTGAGAGAGAACCCAGTTATAATCACCAGCAACATGCCATGCAAAGTAACCTTTAAGTCCTTTTCCCTTTGTGTACGTGACCTTGGTAGAGATGGTTTGGGTATCATCGTAGCTGATCCATGTCGTCCCAGAATAGCAGTAGGCGGACACGACCGTGGAGTTGTACACTGTGGTCGCGCTGTTTTGGGATATGTACGTTGTGATCTGATTGTACACGATTGACCCATCGGAGGATATCGCCGGCCCGGTGAAGGGTGCGAAGTAGCCGTGGTCATTGGCATCCGTGAGGGTGAATGCGCGCCCGTAGAAGGGGAAGCCGAGCACAATCTGCCCCGCCGGCATGCCGGCTTGAATCCACGCGGTCACCCCGATGTCTCCACTTAAGCCGTTCCCTGAAATTATAAGGGCCGACGATTTCAGATGCAGCATATATCAAGAAAATGGCGAGTTTGATGAGCAATGAAGAATTGTAAATGGACAACAAAGTTCACGTTAATTACTCGTGGAATATGACGGTATGCTTTGAAGGGGAGATGATGCTATGATTCTCTTGACATCGAGGTAACAAAATTTCAAAGTCATTATACAAAAAATTAAGAAAACTCCGTTGTACCTCAGGATAGTCAAAGCTTGTAACCCAACAAAAAAGTCAAAGTTGCCGCCCATACCTGGATCATAGAGAGCGGCAAGTGGTCCTGTGGTAGAGGACCAACCGGGTCCAAAGAAATCATAGGCCATAGCATTGATCCAATCCAAGTTCGCCGCCATGGCGGCCACGGGATAATCCGTGGGCGACCAGTAGTGTGGCGAGTAATAGACTGCCGCTGACAAAAGCAAAGCATCCTCGCCTGAGCTAGCCGCCTCAGCAGTCACCGCGGTCCGCCACTCCTGGAGGAGCAACCCCAAGTTGGTCATCTTCTCGTCAATGTCCGGGTATTCCCAATCAAGATCGAGGCCATGAAAGCCGTTTGACCGAGCTAGGGCTATGGAGGAATCGACGAAAGTCTTTCGGGAGCTAGACTGACTTGCCATGGTTGCAAAGGCGGTCGCGTTCGAGCTGCCACCGCCGATGGACAGGAGGGTTACGACTGACGGGTTCTTCTGCTGGACGTCACTAGTGAAGGCTGCGAAAGACTGAGCGTTTGCCGACGATATGACCACCTCGTTTGTCGACGCATCGAGGTCAGCGAACGCGCAGAAGAGATGAGTGAAGAGGGTCGAATCGATATCGGAGGCCGTGATGCCGCTGTCTGGGAACCAATAGCCTCCTTTGACGTTTTGGGCCATGCATGAGTTGATTTGGAGGAGAGAGAGAAAGGAGAAGAAGAGAAAGAGAAGGATGTGATTATCGTTGGAAGCCATTTTTGATGAGTAATGTGGAGGAGGTTGTACATGTTTGAGCCGGTTTTATATAGGATGCGTTGGACCACATGCACATGCTGGGGCTTAAGTTTAGAGTTCTGACTTTTTCCTTACTCTAGTCTAGAACATCAGGTTTAGTGAAATGTGGATATTGGTGGTGACTAAGAATTTCATCCAAATAAGGCATTTTCTTGTACTCGAATGACCCAGTCAATTAAGGAGGGCAAATTCTATTCTATCACTCCCTTTCACGATAGATTTGAACATGTATGTCCACATGGACTGCAAAGTGAAATTATTTTATGAGTGTTAGTTCATATTCTAAATTGAGTTCCCATATGTATTCTCCAAATCTGACGATAATTAATATATGTACTAGCCTCATAAAATACTTGCATGGTTACGTGTGGCATTCTTTAGATGTGATGGCTCAAATCGTCCGATCCGTTATTTAATGTTACATGATGGGACAGACTCGTATGTTGATTTTATCTTTCGAAGACTCTTTTTAATGGAGCGAGCATTGCATACACCTGATGCATATGAACTCACTTCATCTCAATCATCAGGTCATGTGATTCTAACGCGAAATCCACGTGATGCGTGTGGAACTGAGTTACGAGAATTTCTTATCAATCCACCGTCCTTCACGCATAGAAATGCTATGGTAATGAAGGGAGCCGCAAGATGCAGCAATCCATAGGATAAATAGCGAAATGGTCAGACAGAACTCGCCCACGTGGAAGTCAACGTTAATGCCCGCAAAACCGGTGCGCTTACGTGTAAGAATCGATCAACACAATCCCATCTGTTGTTGATGTAACTTGTAAGTTTCGCACGCTGTTTCGTGAGGAGCTCGTTCGATTATCTTAGTCAACGCCGGAGCCGACGGTGCCACGATGCATTAGATTATCCTTTTGGTTGAGCAGACAAGGGCAATTGTCTAAGGTTCGGGACACGTATTGTTTCTCTATGGAGACTTTTTTTTTTTGGTCAGTCTATGGAGACTTTACCAGGAGTCAAAGGAGCCATTTTGCTGAAAAGGGTATCTCGGTTCTTGTTAGCAACATAACTCGAAATGATTGATCGAGACCTACGAACTTTTGCCGACAGAAAGGTAGCTCTCCCTGCATCCACCATCCTCTAGCTGTGCTCGAAGGAGAAAAGCTACGCCTTTGCGAGTAGCAGCACGATTCTTGTAGCTTTTGCCGGCGGCTGCAAGTGCCGCAAGCGCAAACCACATGGAATTTGTAAAACGAACTCTCCATTGTTCATACCTGCACGTATTCTCAAGTCATCTTGCCTGCGTTGTCCTGAATTATCCATGCTGATTAACCATAAGAGAAGACAAATATATGTACCGCAATTCATCTGTCATTTGTCCGCTTTGAGGTATTGGACGGCATTGGATATGCAATCTTGAATCTCTTCTGTCCGATGCCCTTTGTGCAATTCTTGCACAGACTTAAAGCTCTGACGTCTAATGAAATTAGACGTACATTGAGAAATTCGAGTGGATTGAGAAGCTACACCATGCATGTCAGCAGTGTTAATAGAAATAAAAGCTATATACATTGACGGATTGGAATATGCTTAGCCCTCAAATGCATGATTGGATTCTTAGTCAAATTAATCGCGTTGGTACCATCACACATAATGCGTATGTTCGTTTTGTCCTCACCAAAATTCCTTAGCTGGTCCTTCATACACAAAAGTTACAGCAGTTATCTAGAGCCACATACTCAGCTTCAGTAGTTGAAAGGGCTTCACTTCTTTGAGAATCACGAAACGAGCATACAACCCACTATTGGACAATTACTAGAGGTGCTCTTTTTGTCAATTTTGTAAACTGTGAAGTCACCATCTCAATATCCCAATAACACAAAATCTGAGTTCTTAAGATACCACAAAACTAATTTAGGATATGTTCCAACATATTTGATGAATCGTTTCACAATAGTTAAATTGGAATCCTTAAGATTAGATTAGAAATGAGCGCGCATACATAAGCTAAACAGAATATCATGTCTAGATGCTATCAAGTATAATAATAATCCTATCATTCTCCTATATAGCTTAGGATCGACAACTTACCTTTCTCATCCTTTTCAAGTTTGGTTGGTGGAGGCATTGGTGTATCAATTCTAATGTTTCCGTCCCAAACTTGTTCAATATTCTCTAGCATTTTTTCTTGAAATATGAAAGAGCCAACTTTGGTTTATTTGAGTTGCAGTTCAAGAAAGAAGTTTAGTTCACCCATCGTGCTAATTGCAAACTTGGTTTGCGTGATATTAACAAATTCTTTACATAATAGCTTATTAGGAGATTTAAAGATGATATCATCAACATATATCTAAATAAGCTAAATATCACCATCTTTCTTTTGCATAATAAAGTTGTATCGATTTTTTCTTTTTGAAAACCATTTGCAACAAGAAAAGTACACAACTTTTCATGCTAAGCTCTTGGAGTTTGCTTGTGTCCATGAACAGCCTGTTTGCGTTGATAAACATAGCTGGTCCTACAAGGTTCTTCAAATCATTATGTCTACTCTACGAACACTTTCCCTTTAATATAACCAATTCCCATCCATTTGGTTAAACTAAGGGAGAAGAACAATAAAAGTACCGTAACTTTCGTACGATACTCACTTGACTGCCATAACTTTTTTTTTGCGCTCACTTAAGTGTCACATCGAAGTAAAATCGATCATTTGAGTGCCAATTTCGACATATCATCCTAATTTTTAATTTTTTCAAATTTTTTTATTTTTGTTTTTGTTTTTGTTTTTTTCCCTTTTTTTTAGAGCTGGCAAGGGTCATCGGCGATGATCGCCAGTCGCGGGCAAGGCCCGCGACAGACTTCGTCGCGACCGAGGGCGAGGCGGCCCTTGCCCAATCTAGGCAAGGGTTTTGCAGTCAACGAGCATCACTGGTAACCCTCGTTGACCCTAAAAAAAAGGAAAAATGGAAATAAAAATAAAAAAATTCAAAAATAATAAAAATAATAATTTAAAATATTTAAAAATTGTCCACATTAACATCGGCAAAGCCACGTAGGACGACCGGCGTCTATATCGAATTTTCTAGTTAGGCAAATCGTCGATGGCACTCAAGTAATCAATTTTTCAAATTTGTGATATTCAAGTGAGCGAAAAAGAAAGTTATAGCACTTAAGTGAGCGTTGTACGAAAGTTATAACACTCTTGCTATTCTTTCCCCGTTAAAATCATAACAACATGCATAATAAGCCAACAACAATCTTGTTGCTTCTAGTATAGCAACAGATGTATAAATCTCATCATAATTATTGCCTTTCTCTTGGGAGTATCCTAGCAACTAATCTAGCTTTATTGCAAATAACAGTACCTTTGTCATCCAATTTGTTTTCGAATACCCCACTAGTTTCGATGATAAGATGATCCTCTAAATGTGAAACAAGTTCCCACACTTCATTGACTTTAAATTAATAAAGCTCCTCTTGCATTGTTTCGACCCAGTTCTAGTCAACAATGTCATCTTCAATACCTTTTGACACTATTTTAGAAATGAGTGCTAGGGAATTCATGAGCTCTTCGAACGAAGATATGTTCTTGATTACTTCACCAACATCTCCAAGGATTTCTTCCTTAGGATGGCTTGATTTGTATTTCCAGTCCCCTGATAAAGGTGCTAGATTCGAACTTGGATTTTCATTTGGTTGACTTTGGTTGAAACTGCCAGTTGGTGTTATTAGTTGCACAGGTTCCTCTTGCCTAGTGATAATGCACCTTTCAAGCTATCTTCGAATTTGACATTTATAAATTTTTCTACTTCATGCGAAACCTTATTAAACACACGATATGCCTTGCTTGAAGTAGAGTAACTAAGAAATATACCTCCATCTTGATTCAAACTTTCTAATATTGTCATTGGTGTTCTTGAGAATATAAGATTTGTAACAAAAAGATATGAAAATATAATATGCTTGGCTTTCTGTTTTTGTAAATCTCATAGGGAGTTTTATCAAACAATAGTCTTAGAAAAACACAATTGCTGATAAACAAGCAACAACAACTTTAGCCCAAAAATAAGTTGGAACACACCTCTCTATCAGCATAGTCTTAACCATGTCTTAACCATGTCTTGAAGAGATCGATTCTATCTCTCTATAACCCCATTTTGATGTGGAGTGTAAAGCGAAGAGAAATTGTGCTCAAAACCATTTTCAACGCAAAACTTAGAAAGGTTCACATTCTAAGTTTTTAGGATTAATACTGCGAAAAACCCCAAACTGATACACTTGTGACAAATTTACCCTAAATTAATTTTTTGACCACCAAAAACCCAAAACCGGTACACATTTGACAAATTTGCCCTAAACTAGTACACTTGTGACAAATTTACCCTCTATTAGTTTCCATTAAATTTTACTATTAAATTGCTGAATTGGATGACACGTAACAATTAATTGGTATACCAGTTTGGGATTTTACTCTCTGTTTGTCACATTGTACCAGTTTTGTGATTTTTTGTGGTGTTGATCCAATTTTTTTTTTGGTCAGGATGTTCATCCAATTTAATAAAGGGTATATTTGTCACAAATGTATCAGTTTGGGATTTTTGGTGGTCAAAAAATTAGTTTGGAGATAAATTTATCACAAGTGTACCGGTTTGGAGTTTTTTGTGGTCATTTGAGGTAAATTTGTTACAGGTGTACCAGTTTTGGATTTTTCATGATCAAAAAATTAGTTTAAGGTAAATTTATCACAGGTGTACCAGTTTGGAGTTTTTCACGATATTAACCCAAATTTTTACAAGTAAATGCTCAAGACCCAAGTAAGCTTACAAAGTTCATCATAATCAAGTGAATGTGACCGTCTCAACCGTCGTGTTCTGGACACCATCCTCTTGTTGATTCTTGCCCAAGCTCCCAATGCTGAAACCAACCACGTAGAAAGATAAATCTCCAAGTCAACTAATGGACAATAACAAATTTGGCATAATAACCAATTAAATA